TTTCTGTGTGTGTAAATCTTTCCTTGACTTTTTATAATAGTGGTCTCATACAATATTTGTCCTTTTGTGGTTGACTCAACATACGTCCTCCAGGTTTGTCCATGTTATGAGGTGTTTCACAGATTCATTATTTTTTGACATTGCTTAGTATTCCATCGCTTATGTGCATGTACCATAGTTTGTTCCTCCATTCATCTTTTGATGGGCACTTAGGTTGTTTCCATCTTTTTGCTGTTGTGAATAATGCTGGGATGAACATGGGTATACATGTATCTATTGATGTCACAGTTCTTAGTTATGTAGGATATATATGTAGTAGTGGGATTGCTAGATCATGATATGGTATTTTGATTTTTAACTTTTTAAGGAAGCACTATACCATTTTCCACAGTGGTTGCACCACTTTACAGTCCTGCCAGCAGTGTATGAGGGTTCTAGTCTCTCCACACCCTTACCAGCATTTGTTGTTTCTGTTTTTTTTGTTTGTTTGTTTGTTTTGTTTTTTTTAACTTTGCTATTAATGCTGAGATGTGATGGTATTTCATTGTTGTTTGGAGTTGCATCTCTTTAAGGGCTAATGATGATAAGAGTTTCTTCATCTGTTGGTGCCTGAATGTCTTCTTTGGTGAAATGTATGTTTGTATCCTCTGCTCATTTTTTAAACTGGATTGTCTTTTTGTTGTTGAGGTATTGAAATTTTCTATAAATTTTAGAGATGAGTCCCTTGTCTAATACACTGATGCCAAAAATTTTTTCCTAGTCTTTAGGTTCTCTTTTTATTCTTTTGGAGAAGTCTTTTGATGTACATAAATGTTTAATTTTTAGGAGACCTTGGTCATCTAATTTATTTTCTGATGTTTGTGTGTTTTTAGTTATGTGTCGTAGTGTATTTATGCCATATATTAGGCCCCCTAAGTTTGCCCCTATAGTTCTCTTTAATGATCTTTGTAGTTTTAGGTTTTACATTTAGGTCTTTATCCATCTTGAGTGTTAGTTTTTGAATATAGTGGGAGATATGGGTCTTATTTTATTTTTCTGCAAAGTAGATAATTCAGTTTTGCCAGCATCATTTGTTAAAAAAGGCTCTCTCTTTTTCATTTAATGGGTTTCGGTACTTTGTCAAAGATCAGCTATCCATAGGTAGATGGATTTACTTCTAGGTTCTCCATTCTGTTCTATTGGTCTGTGTGTCTGTCATTGTACTAGAACCAGGCTGGTTGAGACTGGGAAATGTGTGGTCTTGTACTTTGTTCTTCTTCTTTAGGTTGGTTAGTGCTTTGCTTATCTGGGTCTTTATGTATAAAGTTGATGATTAGTTGTTCTGTCTCTTTAAAGAATGATGATGGAGTCTGGATAAACCCAAACCAAACACACTGCCACTGAGTCAGTTCTAACTCACAGCGAGCCCCATTGTGCTCCTGAGGCTGTAAATCTTTGTGGAAGCAGATCACCCCCTCTTCCTTCCACAGAGCAGCTGGTGGGTTTGAGCCACTGACCTCCTTAGCAGCCAAATGCCTTATCCATGATGCCACCAGAGCTTCTTGGAATCTGGATAGGGATTACATTTTATCTGTAAATGGCTTTGGGTAATATTGACATTTTCACAATTTTAAGTCTTCTTATCTGTGATGGTTGGAGCTGTGTGTCAACTTGGCTGGACCACAATTCTGTGTGGTTTGAGCTATTGTGGTGTGGTCATTCCCATGATGGGATCAGATGACTATGTTCTGAGTGGCCAGTCTGTTGAAAGGGAGTTTCCCTAGGGATGTGGCCTGCTTCCAGTATCTCCAAGGACATCCTGGGAAGAGAGACATTCTTCTGTGGATTGGAATTCTGTTGTGCTGCCTACAATTGTCTGTGAATGAATAGTCCACCATTCGGCCTGGAGATCTTGGATTCGTCATACGTTGGAGTCAACAGCCGGTGTACTGCCTGCCAGCCTTGAGCTCCTCAGCCCCTGCGGTTGCAAGAGCCTGGAAAAGCCTCCAGCTTGATGTTTGATCCAGGAACTTTGGACTTGCCAGCTTCAATAAGTGTGTGAGCCATTTTCCTAAGATAAATTTCTCTATATATATATACATATATATAAGCTTTACTGTTTTTGTTTCTCTTGAGAACCCAGTCTAACACATTATCCATGAGCATGGTATACTCTTTCACTTATATAGGTCTCTTTTGTTTCCTGTAGTAGTGTTTTGTAGTTTTCTTTGTATTGATCATTTGTATCTCTGGTTAGATTTATCCCTAAGTATGTTGCCTTTTGGTTGGCTATTGGCACTGGTATTGTTTTCCTGATTTCCTTTTCAGAGTTCTCTTTGTTAATGTACAAGAATCCAACTGATTTTTGTATGTTGATCTTGTATACTATCATTTTGCCAAATCTCCTTCTGTTAGTTATAGTAGTTTTCTTGTTGAGTCTCTGGGATTTTCTTTGTGTAGGATCATATCATCTAAAAATAGAGATTATTTACTGTTTCTTTACTAACTGGTATGCCTTTTATTTCCCTTTTTGCTCTAGGTAGGACTTTTATTATAATATTGAATAGGAGTGGTAATAGAAGGCATCCTTGTCTGGTTCCTGTTCACTGGGAGAATAGTCTCAGTCTCTTGTTGAGAATAATGTTGGCCGCTGGTTTTGTGTATATGCCCTTAATTATGTTGATGAATTTCCCTTCTGTTCCTGTTTTGCTGAGAGTTTTCATTGAGAGTAAGTGTTGGGTTTTGTTAAACGGTTTTTCTGCATCACTTGATATGATCATACGGTTCTTGTCCTTTGTTTTATTTAGTTGGTGGATTATGCTGATTGTTCTTCTAATGTTGAACCTTCCTTCTATACCTGGTATGATTCCCACTTGGCCATGATGTTTTTTTTTTGTTTTTGTTTTTGTTTTTTTGATAAATTGATTTTGATCCTATTGAGTAGGATTTTGCTGAGAATTTTTGCATCTGTGTTCATGAGGGATATTGGTCTATAATTTTCTATTTTTAGTGGTGTGGTGTCTTTCCCTGACGTTGGTATCAGAGTTATGCTTGCTTCATAAAATTCAGGAGTATTCCATCCTTTTCTGTGTCTGGAATAGTTTGATTAGAATTAGTGTCAGTTCTTCTCTGAATGTTTGGTATAAATTGCCAGTAAAGCCATCAGGGCCAGGACCTATTTTTTGGGAGCTTTTTTTAATGACCGGTTTAATTTCTTCTTTTGTTACTGGTCTGTTCAGCTTTTCTACTGCAGACTTTGTTAGTTTGGGTAGGTGGTATGTTTCTTCTAGGTTTCCAAATTTGTTGGTGTACAATTCTTCATAGTATTGTTTTCTTTTTTATTTCAGTTGGTTCTGTTGTGACATTATCTATTCTGTTTTTTATTCATGTTATTTGCATCTTGCTTTTCCTTTGTTAAATTTGTTATTGGTTTGTCAGTTTTATTAATCCCTTCTAAGAACCAACTTCTATTCTTGTTGATTCTATTTTTCGATTCTGTTTAATTTATTTCTGCTTGAATCTTTATTATTTCCTTTCTTCTAGTAACTGAGCTATAGGGTCACTGTTTTGATTTTGGCCCTTCTTTTTAAATGTATGCGTTTATTACTATAAATTGTCCTCTGAAAACTGCTTTTGCTGTGTCCCAAAAGTTTTGCTATGTTGTGTTTTCATTCTCATTAGATTCTAGAAATTTTTAAAATTTCATCTTTGATTTCTTCTGTCACCCAGTGGTTTTTAAGCAAGATGTTATTCAGTTTCCATGTATTTGATTTTTTTTTTCCTTGCTCTACTGTTACCAATTTCTATTTTTAGTGTTGTGATCAGAGAATGTGCTTTGTATTATTTCGATGTTTTGGATTTTAAGGTTTGCTTTGTGTCCTAAAATGTGGTCTATTCTGGAGAATGATCCATGTACATTGGAAAAGAATGTATAGTTTGCTGCTGTTGGGTTGAGTATTCTGTATATGTCTGTCAGGTCGAGCTGGTTGGTTGTGGTATTAAGACCTTCTGTGTCTTTGTTGAGTTTCTTTCTAATTCTGTTCTTCACCAAAAGTGGTGTGCTGAAGTTTTCTATTATTTTTATTTTCAATGCAGTTAGTTTGTTTCACATATTTTGGAGATAAGTCATTGAGTGCATATGTATCTATTATGGTTATATCCTCTTGGTGGACTTGATCCTTTCCATCTGTAACCAACATATAATGCTTTGCTTCAACTCCTATTTTGAATAAATTAAAAAATTGTGTTTCATATCATTCATATGTGTGTGTGTGTGTGT